TGTAGCTTCAACTTTGAACGGAATTTTGAATGTCACTATCACTCTATGTGTAATTACTCTAAGTTCTGTACCATTAAAAATGTGTATTAATTTATATAATTTTATAGGTACTGTATTTAAAATAATTTAATTGTGTAGTCGTACTCGAATATCTAGTCTCATTCCGAATATTGCCAATGTATTTTTTAATACGCAATTACCAAATTATTTTTGTCATGATTTCCTAATATTAAGGTTAATTTTTTTATAAAATAAGTACCTACATATTTTGTGAATAAATACTCATTTGTATAAAGCTAGATTTAGATTAGCGGCTTATGATTTTTTAGAACTTATTAAAGTTTTAACACTGTTACATATCTAATTAGTTTTAAGACCACTCTTTGTACATAAGGAATGAAACTCACTATGTAAAAATTCCGATTTAAATTAAAAGGCGTATTCAAAATATATGTATTTTATTACATTATTGGTTCCAATAATTAAGTTCTTTGACATATCAGAATAGTCTTCGAACACTATTTTTTTAAATAATTTTTGTAATAGCAGTAATATTTTTATTGTGCTTAGAAAATGTTACATATTTTGTTACAGTGATGTTCAATAGTATATTGAGATAGATAAAATTCTAGCCTACTAGTTAGGTTACTTATAATCCTGTTTATGATAGTTTCAGTACGTGATAGATAATGTTATTGATATCTGCAACGTGTATGTACTATTATGGATAGGGCATATCATAAAATAATTAGTAACTTATTTATTTTGAAAGTGTCGCTAAACTGGTATCACAGACCAGTATAGAAAATATATTTTATCTATTTCAAGACCTATTTCTATCATCTAGCAAATGTGTCTTAAAATTTTGTGAACCAGATGTTCATGCTCTACATACAAATACAATCCTCACGTAAGCTCACCAAAACAGCACTCGCCATTTTGTTGGATACGTAACTACATATAATATGTATTTTGCGTCTGATAATTTGATACCAAGAATATTATTGTCCAATTCTGTACATCGTTAGATCTAAATGATTTCGTTCCAGTGACAGTGGTAACCGCGATAGACGGGGCAACCCTCCTCATGCTGAACGGATATTCATATAGTAACCCATCACCGATGACCGGCGGAGAGCGATGGTACTGCTCCGGGCGGACTAGATGGAAATGCAATGTTTGCTTGCACGTCAACGATGACTATGAACTTGTTTGTATATCGAACGAGCACGCACACTCACCACCTGTATACGACAAAACTGATAATGGTCTCTATGTAGAAATTTTGGAGTAATATGAGATTGTTATGGACTCTACAACCTGGATTAATCTGTAGTCTAATTTTGGTAACGAATATGACAAAATTAAAGAAGTTATATCTCTAGAAGAATTTAAATATTTTTGCTGCAGATTTTTTAGAATTCCCAGCACGAATTTACATGTGATTATCAGTTTAATGTTGCTTAATTTACTTTTAAAGATGGTATCAAAGTTTGTGGCATACTTGTTGCCATCAGATCTTTCATATTTGTAAATTGTTATCGATCACCTTTAAACTAAACTGTTGTCAATCATTTTATAATTTCCCTAATAAATGTGCTAAGACGCATGCATTTTTCAAATATTTGTTCATCCCTTCGAGCCTATATATAGGATATAGACAAGACTGTCAATGTGAGAATAATATCCCAATTACACCCATATAGTACAACTTGTCAATATCAGCAGAACAAACTTCGATTTGTTAATAGATTCATCGTTTTAGTTTTTCTTTCATTTACATTTAAACTGACATTGAACAAGTGTGATTGTTGGCCAATTTCGTATTGGCTTATTTATGTTGTAATAATCTATACTCACAAGTAAATAGTAATAAGGGATTATTGTGAACCGCCTACAAATAAAGTAAACATTGTATATTTATGTCATACAAATACTTGGTACAGAGCAGTTTGTAGATTTTATATATTCATAAGTAAGATAATTAATGATTTAGATTTAGAGTACACTATTTTAATGGTTTTATTTGATAATATATTTTAATGTAAAAAAATAATATTATTCATTGCTTGTCAATTACAGACAGCATTTAAAATTAGACCGAACATTATTTATTTAAAATTTAATCGGTATCCAAAGAAATAAAAATCAAATAGAAATAAATGTGAATATTCTATTTCATACAGTTTTTGTTTTAAAAAAAGCGCTATGTACGTTTGCAAATAAAAAAAAATATAATTACGCTCAAGTAAGAAAAATGTTGTTAGACGTATAATCAAAACGAAATTGTTCAGGGTAAAACTTTTCGACGTATCATTCTATTTTAGTTTTATCCTATTTATTAAATGAAGAAATTCTCTGTTTTCGCATGTTAGGTTTTATACTTATACCAGTCGTTTAAATAAATTTTCAACATATATATGTTTTTAATTACTACCACCAAGAAATACTGTTACTTTAAGCTTAGTCTAAGCTAAGACAACCGCATACTTTAAGCTTGCCATAATGCTGCGTAGAGACTTATGTAATTTATTACACTAAAGTATTGCCGTTTCTATTAGTGTAATGAATCATGTAATGTAACGCACTATGGAACAAATTGTCATAGTGTTGCGCGCGCGAGCTGTGCATTTCATGAGCACGCTACGAGCATTACTAGTCGCGCTCGGAGCGATCTGTGATTTGTCGGTTTTCTGCAGACTTCCAAAAAGGAGACGGTCCTCAATTCGACTGTATGTTTTTTTATGTGTGTTACCTCATAACTTTTTACTGTGTGAACCGATTTCAATGATTCTTTTTTTGTATGAAAGCTGGTACTTCTCGTGTGGTTAAGGTCAGACCAATAGTTTTTGAGTTATTCTTAATAACTTATATTGAAGTCGGCTGTGCAAAATTTTTAATTTTAAATTATTCGAACGAACACAAAGGGGTGCGCAGTGTGAAATAGGTGTGTATTAGCCGGCTACAGAGCATTCCTGACATGACACAGAAGCAATACTAATGTCAATATTTATCAAGGCTCCACCGAAAATCTGCATTTCAGTATCTGTAATAGCATAAGCGTTCCTTTCTGGCATCACATCACTCATGTATTTTATCATGTTTATTGCTGATATTTATTTTTATTTGTTTCCTTGATCTGCTGTTTCCTGTATGTTTTGTGTCTACGTCTAAATGAAGATGATGATGTGAGTGATTCGATTTGATTGCTATTGAAATTTTTTTTTTAAAAAAAGGTTACCCTCACACTAGGATTTTCTCCTGTATCGTGGAGGCAGTTTACAAACATATATTGCACAAGGACAAACATCCAGACCCGGAACAATTATTTGTAGGCCATACAATTAATGCTTGTTCCGTGCGGGATTCAAACCCGCGGCTCCAAGCGTTGCAACTCATTGCTAAGCCACTACGCCACGGAGCCGTTGCGTTGCTTCAGTTGTTTATGCGTTTACTGATGGGTCACGAAATAATCGTAAAACGTATTTTAGGTATCCATGAACCTAGGCCGTCATTAGTTCCTTCAGCGCCATCGTCTTGTCAATCGATTACAAGAAATATAATGACTGGTACGACTCACAAACTGATGAAACTTAAAAAGCAGGCCAACGGAAAAAAATTAAGAAAAAGATGCGCTGGATGCTACAGGAAACTTAAAGACCAAGGTCGCTCAGTAGCTGAAGCTCGGTTAAAATCAAAGAAGACAGATACAGCGTGCAATTTATGTAAAACAGCATTATGTCTTCAGTGTTTTAATGAAATTCACTAGATTTTTAGGATTGAATTCATTGAAAGGAAGCCTAACCTGTGTTTTAAAATATTAAATATATTTCTTTATTATGTTATGTATTATTTTACCCGCTTCATTGGTCACACTCCCGTGTCGAATGAGGGTAATTTTTGCTACGTCCATAATTTAAGAGTTATTAGGTAATAAATAGAATATGTGCGGCATGGATAATCGATATTATTTTCCGGTGTTCCGCGGTTTCAGGTCAGAACAGTCAAAAACGTTGTTGTTTGACATTATTTCCTTATGGCTTAGAGCCGTGACGCACAAACCATGTTTTTAACAAATGAATGACTTAATTTTCAATAGGAAATTTGTAATAATCTAGAAATATAGCGAATTCAAAATATGCTAATCTATTCATTAACAAATTTAAAAATATACAATATTAAAATCTCTAATAATAATAATAAAAAAAACTAAAATTAGAAACAAAATTATCACTCCCCGCGGTATCGTGCCAAGAACGCTGGCTGCGTTTCCCCGTTGAATGGCTATACTTAGCCTTTGAGCGAGAAAAGAACCAGCCCTCTTATCATCAGCAGCAACGACCAGCCGCAGATGGAGTTCCTTTAGGAACTTTACCGCAGGTGGACCCCACAGACCGATAGTCTCTACAGCAAATGGTACAAATATGTTGTCATCTCTCAGAGACTCATATTTGCGCCACTAACTCAGTTCAGCTGCCTCTGATGCCGCTCCGGCTCTAAAAGAAGTATTCTCTATTCAAATCCGAAGTTTCACAGACTAATTTTATGGTAAAAATATCAGCATGCTCGCAATAATACAGTGTGACGCTTCGATCATCTCACTTCGCATTTTTTTTTAATTAATATTTTATATTATAAAACCCTGACACATAATGATTTACCTGACCTGATTTTATACACAACGATCGCACTTCACGGATATTCTTGCGTATATTCTTTAATTTTAATTGTTGACTTAACACATCCTCAGCAGTGAAGGAAAACATCGTGAGGAAACGAGCATGTCTGAGATATTAAAAACATATATATTTCGAAGACGTGTGAAGTTCGCCAACATTGCATTGGGACATCGCAGCGGACATTTCCTTGCCCTAAAAACCCTCTCAGAAATGAGAGGGGGCTTGTGCCCAGCAGTGGGACATGTATAGATTGTAACTTTATTTTTTATATCTTTAACATTTTAAGAATATTGTCTATAATAATATTTCATGTTGTTTCAGCGAAATTCATAAAATTGAAGAACGGCAAATCTTTGCTGATGTACGACAGGTATACTTTCAGCAAGCCCTCTGAGTTGGCTAGGTCAGCTGGCACGTATTGCTGGAGGTGTACCGGTAGAGGCTCCAGCCGTTGCAATATGTATATACACGTGGATGGAGACTTGCAGGTGTTAAGGATCTTCAACGAACATTCCCATTTGCCACCTAGATACATCAGTGCCAGTGGTGGTTTCTACATCCGTATCTAGTTCTGCCATTGTAAACTAAAGTTAATTCTGAATAAAATAAAATTGAATTATAAAATACTTCATTTTTGTACGTGAAACCACGCTGCAACAAATTGCGTAATTTTTTAAATAATTTAACTTATATTACGACCGATATAAGGTGCTGTCGTTGTCAAATTCGTGAAAATACCACTACACAGCGTGTCGTTGCAGCATGAATAGATCGGCGGGAAAAGGACCACGTTGCTTTTTCGGCCGATCAGACGCAATACCAGCGTGAAATAGAAGCATAATGCTATCTCATATGGTGAGTGACGTAGGCTCTTTTAAATAGTAACCAGGCATTCCATTTGGGTCCTTATGGGTGACAACGCATCTCCATTTTGGTTCTTAATTGTGTATAAATAAAATAAATGTAGATAATCTATGAACTACAGTTACCGTTACAGCCTATAATGTCCATTACAGAACATACGCCTTCCCTATAGATTGCCTCATAGGGGGGACATTTGCTATAGTTGCCACGCTTGGCAAGGGGGTTGGCAACTGCAGTTTTTTATTTTTTAAAATAGGAAGACGCTGCTGCCCAACTCCTGATTACCCTGTGTCGATTCTTACAACAGCCACAGGATGATATATGTAGATTCTTACACCGCCATTACACGTTAAACTATAAGGATTAGGGCCACTTTAATAGATCACATTTGTCATTTGTATGTACGTTAGAATGATCTTTACACATATTTAGTTAATAAGTATTGGCTATGAGATTATTGTAAACCGCCTAAAAATAAAGTAACCTAGATATTTATATTATAAAAATTCGTGGTTTAAATTAGTTTGTAGTTTTTACTTACGATAGTTAATGTTTATACGTTGTTTTATATATAAGACACAGGTGTTTCCTTGCCCTTAAAATCAGCCTCCTCAGAAATTAGAGATTTGTGCCCAGCAGTACGGGCAGTAAGAACGGGGCGGCCATAAAATTGGACCAAGACGCCTAACCCACTGTCCAGAATACTTTTGGTCTAGAAAGTCTCTCACTGGACGGACATAGTCAGCAGGGCAACCGTCGTTTTGGTATCACATATTATTAATATATTTAAAGGTACTTAAATGGTATTGAGATAATTGTTAATTGCAATTTAAGTGCTTATTTACCACGTGCTTAGCGGTGAAGGAAAACATCGTGAGGAAACCTGCATGTCTGAGAAATAAGAAAAAAATATGTATTTCGAAAACATGGGAAGTTCGTCAACACGCATTGGGGCAGCGCGACAGACACTTCCTTGCCGTAAAACCCTCTCAGAAATTAGGGGAGGCCTGTGCTCAGCAGTGGGACATATATAGGCTGTAACTTTAACTTAAATCTACACCTCTGATAGATCTGGCAAATGATTTATCTGTTAATGAAGTCTGCACACGCCTTACGTGGTACGAAATCTGTGACGTGTTACAATACGATGTGCAATACATTTTAGGACTCCTACAGTGACTTAGCTACTATCTTAGGGCTAGTCGGGGCAGTGCCCCGGGCCCCCCAAGCTCCAGAGGCCTTGAGGCCTCCATGAAAGACGTTCGAAAAAGTTATATAATGTTAAGATTAATTCCTCCGTTTTAAAGCCGGGTAGATTTTGAGAAATTAAAAAAAAACTTAATTATATTATTTTAATTCAAGAGAATAAAATTTGCATCTATTTTCTAATTAGAAAAAATATACATTAATTATTTTTTATCTATACAAATTTAAGAACCTTCCTACGTGGTAGAGCCATGCTGCAGCTATATAATGGGTCGGCTCGACCAGGAAACGACCACGCTCTCACAGATTACCAACGTAAAATAGTAGCATAACGCTGGTGTGTTTCACATGGTGAGTGTAGAGAATCAAATACCGTTATTTACTGGAAACGAGGCATTCCATCTTAGTCCGCAGGGCTAACAACGCATCTGCATTTTAATTCGTAGTAGATGTCTATGGGCCAAAGCCAACTACTTACCAAGTATATAGTCCCTGTGTATGGGAGTGGTATGGTAAAAAGTCAAAGTTCACAAAGATACAAAATTATAATCCAGAATAATGCCAGGTCAGTTCGGTTTATCACTTGATAGTCGAGTTCAGTCCTCACTCTCTGTCTTGCTCTAAATTTTTAATAGCGTCATTACCTGCTCAACGCTTGCTTAACAATGGTGTAACTATAAATGTCACAATAAAATATTATGATAAAAAATCTATTGACAACGCCTGTCTACCTGAATCTGTAACCCAAAACCTGTTTTTGGGCCACATAATAATGTTTTCAAAGATAATAATAAATGAGTGTGTATGGTTCTTGTTCAAAAAAAAATATTTTTTTTGTGTGGTTAGTGTCATTACTAGTGTCATTACATTACTATACCATTTTAGAATCTTGATTTGTTGTGATAACTTTTATAATAACTTGCCATAGTAGTGTTCATACATATTTTATACCGTGACAAGTGGAAGTCGTTTAAAAGTTAAAATTTTCAAAATTTGCAAGAAATACTTTTTTTTTCTTAAAAGTTCAGATATTTTTATTTTATTTAGAACTGCGATGAACAGCCATGCAACTTAGGATGCTAATATAAAAAAAATGGTATTTGCAAATTTTTAGTCATAGTACCTAAAAATATTGTTTAGCGTGTCAAATTTTAAAGTATGTATTTATAAAAAATTATTAAGTACATATAAGTAACTTAAAAAGAGAGTAATTTTTTATTTTTCCCTGGGTAGTCATCGATTTGACTCCCTGGTGTCCGCTTAATGTTTAAATTTGGAACACGTGGTATAACTCAATCTGTTTTATTTGCTTTTTGAATTACTATATTACATTATAATAATATTTTCTGTTTTGTTTCAGCGACATTAATAAAATTAAAGGGTGGTAAATCTTTGTTGATGTTCAACGAGTATACTTTCAGCAAGCCCGTCCCATTGGTGAGATCAGCTGGCACGTACTGCTGGAAGTGTACCTCACGAGGGTCCAGCCGTTGTATTATGTATATACACGTAAATGCAGACTTGCAGGTGTTAAAAGCCTTCAACAAACATTCCCATTTGCCACCTAAATACTTTATTGACAGTGGTGGTTATTACATCCGTCTCTAGTAGGTGCCGTGAACAGAAAGGTATTCTGAAGAAAATAACATTAAACATTATAATACTTTGTTTTGTAAGCCGCGGGGCCACGTTACAATATATTTGCGCCTTCAGTTAAATAAATAAATTTCTATTATAATTTGTAACCGATTTAAGTTGTCATCAAATGCGTGATGGAACCACGATACAGCGTGTCCCTGTAGCACGAATGGATCGTCGAAGAAAGACCACGCTCGCACACAATACAAGCGTAAAATAGCAGCATGATTGATTCTCTATCTGCCACTGTAGGAGGACCCGCGTTTGTGTGCGTGCGTTACGAAACCTCGTATAAAGCATCCGTACCCTTATTTACTCTGATTTCTATCTAAAAATTATTAGAATAATTTTCTTTTATGATTATGTAATAGTATAGTTGCTGATGAAAAATAAAATTCATAATAAGAAAAAAAATGATTTTTAAAATAAATAATTTATGATAAAAGTTTTTTTGTTTATAAAATGCATTCTTCATGAGTCTTTCCTAACCGAAATAAAAAAAAAACTTCTTGTTCTTTTCATAACTAATCTAATCGACTTATACATGAACTTTCTAGTAAATGTAAGGGCATTGTGAAGAGTATTTCCGATTTGTTGTTTCACGCCGTGTAATAGGCTACGTAAGAATGCACTACCCGAAAACTACCTACAGTAACCTACAGGATGTAGGTTTTGTAAGAGGGGACACAGGGGAACTGAATGACAGAACTAAACAGGAGGTGGGCAGCACCATTTCCTTGATAATAACTCAAAATAATACAAAAACGACGGTAGCATCCAATCGTAGCAACTAAGGCGAATATCCCTCTATGAGACACTTAATGGAATCTATGTTTAGAAGTGAACTTTGATAGACTGTATGGATTAAATATGCATCATCATACAGTTCATGTACTTACAAGGAACTTTTGTAATAAACGTTAGCTGGCCGGGGAAAAAAGTTATTTTAAACTTGGGAATAAGGAGAAGTTCAGATTGGGAAACAGAAATTATTAAAGAAACCATGCAAAGCTCTTGCCAAAAAAAAAGAATTTTAAACAAGACGTATAAGATTTTAAATCTATAACACATTATAAAGTATTTACACAAGAAACATACATCTGGGAAATATTGCTTGCGATATTAATAAGATTAACTTAACCTATTACTGATGCTGTTGTTCAAAATCTATACGATATTCCAATACGAGTGAAGTGTTTCATGAACGATCTATCGTTAAATACTTAACGAAAAATCTTACACTTTACTTATTATTGTATGCTGTGGCCCATAGGCATCTACATTTATAAAAGCTTTTAGAAAAATTTACTTTGCAAATATCCGCGTTATAAAATAAAATGATGTGTTTTACCTAGTATGAAGAGCACCTCTCACCCTCCCTCAATTGCGTGCACTATCCACTATTGAGGGAGGGTGGGAGGTGCTCTTCATACTAGGTAAGACACATCATTTTATTTTATAACGCGGATATTTGCGAAGTAAATTTTTCTAAAAGCTTTTATATAATGGATTTCCGCAAAGTAACGCCTGATTCTATTAATTATATCTACATTTATCCTCTATCAAGAATCAAAACTCAGATGCGTTGTCACCCCTGAGGACTAAGATGGAGTGCCTCGTTTCCATTATTCTTCTCGGACTGGGGTACGACTAAATCTGGTCCAGTTCAGTGCCCAGAAAACACAAGTTTGCGCGTTTAAATTTGTTTACCATCGGTGATTTTTCCGTGCTGATGCGACTTAGGGACGTTCAAGAAAGGAGCTTACTCTTTTCTTAAAGGCCGGCAACGCATCTGCGATTCCCCTGGTGTTGCAGTTGTTCATGGGCGGCGGTAGTCACTTACCATCAGGTGAGCCGCATGCTCGTTTGCCCCCTCTCCTATAAAAAAAAA